TCATATAAAAAAAAGGGACAATTAATGCGATGCGACCGAATAAAGCTGACCTTTTTTTGGGGTTCTCTTTTTAATAATGTTTGTGTGATTATGTTTCTCCAATTCAATCATCATGATTCATGAAGCGTTTGAAACTTCAAATTGTACCTTTAAAAAATATCATATTATTGGGCCTGTATTTTGACCCATACTTAGCAAGCTTTTACAGATTTTGTTGGATCCATTTTATTGGGCTACTTGTGAGATCTTCAAACCTTGAAAAAAACCCAATATATCAGCAATAGAGGTTCAAGCCATGTGGCAGCACGTCTATGAACTAACTATTCCAAGTTTACAAGCTTATGAAATTGTATATCAGATCTTAGATTTAATTTTCAAGTATCATTAAAACGACTGACTATAATTGGAAAAGTCATTATATTTTCTATATATACTAGAATAGGATCCGCGTTAAAACGCGGATAAAGACATTAAAAAATATTAATATCAAAATTTAAACTTTAATTAATAGCCTGTTTGATTACAAAAATATTTTGAAATATTTAAACATAGATCTCAAACCATTAAAGTTTAATTTATATTTTAATACTCATGTCATAATTCATATTATGGAGACCAAAAAATATATATATACACAAATGGAATTCAAATCATATTTTTAATAACAAAAACAAATAATCTTACACATTATGAATTTATATTAACTATATAATAAAATATTATAACAATTAAAATATTTTAGAGTTAAATTATAAAACAATAAATTTATGTGAATAATCTCATAAATACCTGATATTTTATAATATTTTTCCAAACATTATATATAAAGCTATGATTGATCAATGTCACTAATGTCATCGATTTATTTTTAATAGAGATCTATACTCGTCAAATCTTACATATTTAGATCTTATCAGTAAATATATTATTATTATTTTATAACATGTATAAATTTTCATTTTATATAATTTCTTTTTTTAACATTAAAAAGTATAGGTAGAAGATTTATATTTTCTTTGTAGTATTCTATAACTATGTTTATAAAGTTAATATGTTTATAGATTTTTGTTTTCTTTGGTATGTTTGTACATATAAACCTTAACATTGAGATTTTCATATTCTTTTTAAT